ATCTAAAAAGGTACATATATATTTTTTCAGGAGAAAGACCACCCATGACTGCAGGTATATATATTCCTTCTTCACTTACATGAATGAACATATATGTACATTTATGCTACCCAAAAAGGTAGTCAATACAAATACACATCCAGACCTAGTTTGTGTGGTCTTCAGGACTCCATGAATATATAGACTTTATGCGGCCCCCATGTATTCAATATACGGTAGATGTTTTATCATTCCACAGTATGGTATCCACAGAAACATCTTTGATATATGGCTATGTGTTGGTTGTGCTATACCACAAAGAGGAGCGTTTTTGTCGTGACTTTAAGACCATTACTGAAAATTATACCAATAAACAGGAAGTCTGCCTAATGAAAAGAAAATTAAGTGTTTATTGGTGAGAAGCCATTCCCTCAAAGAATTGTGCATGGGATTGTCTAAGCCTAAGTGGCCTGGTGGAAACAGTTGTGACGGTACATACAGCCTCATGTTTCCTAACAGCTAAAAGACTAGAACCTGATTGTAAACTGCTGCAATGAACCATTGCAGCTTGTCCTAACAAGTCAATAACTACCACCTTTATTGGAGATGGAGCTCAGAATAAACACCCACACCTCACTTTTCTCAAGGGTGCACATCAAAATCAACAGAGTTACAAAATGTAATTATAAAGGTGTGGAATTTGTAACATTTGATAAAACTACCCAACCAGAGTTAGAGCAAGGGTCATTTATACAATTATATATTTGATATCAAGGTAAATAACTAGGTTAACTATTGTATAATAAGGCATTGCAACCATTAGTAAAAATGTGAGTTTATAATTCCCTGACTTGTGGCATTCTCCTCACCTAGTAATAATATGTGATAGGAGCTGTGAGCCCTTTGTGTGCAGCATTTGGAGAGGACAGAGCTTGCGATACCATGAATAAACTTCTTTATAAACCAGCATGGCAGGGGTGTGTGAACCACAAGGGTAGCTGAAAAGAACTGCCCTATATTTTAGAAAGTGAAACAGTGCAAATATGTATATTTAAAGCATAGATAAAGGTTAAAAAAAATCCTTTTAACCTGTAGTTCTGTTGGTGGGATATAACTTGATGCTACATTTCTCTTAAAAATGAACATTTATTTTAGCAGTGGTGTTTTTCTTATGGTTTCAAATGTATGGCCTCAAAATAAAGTCTACATACAAGACAAAGTACAATACACTGACCTCTATACTCGTTGCCGCATGTGGAACTTAAATGGTCAAATGTGACTCCTATGGACTAACTCTGCAAGAACTAAGGATATACTCAATACAGTGACTCAGAATTTGTTATAACACTAAATTGACAAGATTACAACTCAGATTTATATTAAACACTTAAACAATCAAACAAAACACAACCATTACAAATGAACATTGTAATACAGTGAGTTCTACTAATTAGGCATGATGGGCATTATGTAGCAATGTATCTGAGGGAAGAAATGGTGCCTTTTAAATATACACCCTTGCATGGCTCCATAGAGCTGTGCTACAATTGTCATCATACAGATTTCAAACATGTTCAATCTTCCAGATTCAGCTCCCTAAAAAATGATGGCACCTTTCTTAAAGACATTGATGACCTACCAAATCTGCGGAGCTGAATTACAAAAATATACACTTTAACATTAAAAAAAAAAAAAGAAAAAGAATTCTGAATATGAGCATTACTTGGGATTTCCATTTCTATTTAAAAATGTATTCACAACTGCCCTGGACCACTCTGTTAACACAGAGGTATCCTCTTTTACCATACAGCCAGAGCTCATGGAGGACCAGAAGCCAAGTTTTCCGATTTTACCTGCTGGTGAGATATGGTATTTCTGCTCCTCCAATACACACTCTTAATGTACCATGTCTGAGGATTTATGGGGTAAAGGAGTCCATATTACTATACAGAGACTGAATTAAAAAAAAAAAATGGACATTTAAAAATCAAACCCTTTAGATAATGATTAGACACATTTAAAGAGGTGTGTAGAAGTAAGCTGTACAGTTTGTCCTTTGGATATAGTGCTTTTCTACATAAAGTGCTCTTCTGACCCTACCATTAATAAATAGATTAATCTATGTTTTGTGCAAAAATACTTTTTAAATCCAAAACCACAACAATCTGCTTTAAGTGTAACACAACTGTAAAGCAAAAACGAAAACCAGAACACTAAAATAAATACTTTTGCCTAGAGATATTTTAACCTTGGCTTGGGATCCAGTGCAATGTTCTGCTAAGGTAGATCTACCAGGCCACCATCTAAGGTCTTTAGGTGGATGCTGTATTATCTGTTTAATTTCCAAGAGTTATAATGCTCCACTTGAGTTAATGTAATTAAAAATCACTTAAATGCTGATTGTTAAGAAAACACAGTATATTGATGACAGTAAAACATGAGACACCCATTGTAACACACTGAGATTATTTTACTAAAGACAGAGACTGTTATATTTTCAAGGGAATTTTCACTTTGCAAAGGAAACCCAATCATGTGGAAGGAGAATGGGGAAAAAAAAACCCCAGAACTTTTGTTTGCACATAATTGGAAGATGGATGTCAGCAGAACTTCTCCTTGTTCAAGCGAAGCTAAAGTCCTGCTGTCAAAATCTGCGAGCAGGCAGGCTCCTTATTGCAGAAAAGACAAGCAATGTCGCTTCCCCAAAAAAAGAAACCTACCTGCCTGCTTGCAGTCTTCTTTGAATGTAGACTAAGCTGCACAAGCACAGCTAATTTTACATTCCGCCTTGGTACTGGAATGACTGCACATGTGCAGGAGTGATGTCATCTGCTGCTGCCAGAGAGGAACAAGGACTGTTGGAAGAAAGGTACGTTTGGCTCGGGTTAAACTAAGCTCTGGGAGACATTTCTTTGGAAAGGAAACAATCTATTTGCCTTTAGTAAAACAACCCCACTGTATGGCTAGATACATCTGCCTCTGCATTAAAGTCTCTTTGATAGACATAGCTTAAATTGGAAGACATGTTACAGTCTAACAGTACTTAGCAAAAAAAAAAAAAAAACATTTAATGACACGTCAACTAAAAAAGGATGTACCGTAATCATGACTTCATACCGTTAGATTTTAGCCATTGTCCAACTTCTGTAGTAAAGCATACATCAACTTCAAAACAAAAAATTGATATATTGCAGCTTACCAGTTCTTAGAAGTGATGGCTGCTTATTTTTCTTTTTTTTCTGGCTTTTATTCTTTAAGGGCCCATTCAAATCAAAAACTGCATTTAGTGTGCGTTTTTGCAAGCGGAGTAACGTTCATTTGACATTTATGCGATTTAAATTTTTAATTTTGCGGTGCATTTCCTTTGAGGTCAATTCTTTTTTTTTTTCTTTATGCTTTTTTGTGCATTGTGCTGTAGTGTATTTTTTTTCACTGCACTGCAATAGTGTGAACTAATAGGATAACCTAGAATTTGGACTGTATGTAGTTGGAGTGCAATCAAAAATGCATCCCACTGCATCTGATGTGAATGGGTCTGCTTGTAGTCTTGCCAATATAACACTACCTATCCTAAGGTGACTCACTCTTCTACCTTATCTATGGAGGAAGCCAATAGAGAACATTGAGGTACATGTAGGTTGTGTCAATTGGGAACTAACTAAAAAGCACTCTTAATGCCCAAGTAATGTATTTTTTTTTTTTCACAAGGGGTCAGTTGTCTGGGATTCATTGTTTCATCTAGCTCAGTGTATGCTTGCCTCATTGTTAAAGCAAAAGTGGAATGGCAAACAGTCATGTACAAAACAAAAACATGAGATTAAGGCAAACCACAGATGATACAATTTTCTTTCTTTCCACCACAAATGGAAGGAAAGAAAACTGCTCGATTCCCACTCCCACAGCACTATTGTGTTAGGAAGGCTCCCTGGCGGCTCCCCCGCCAGCACTGACTGTATACAAAAAATCTGACAAGATGGTTGTACTGAAGTCGATCGATGTACTGACTTCAACACAGCCAGCCTGCTGATACATGGATCGAATCTTGGCCAGACCCTGCTAAACAGTCCGAGATTTAATCAATCTATGGCCAGCCTTAGCCAAGAAGAATATGCTTTGTCATAATAGTATGGCTTGATACATCTACAGTACCTCTGCATCACTGGCTCCTTGACAAATCCAGCATTGCATTGATGAATAACAGTGTTGTTTATTTGGTCTCCCATAGCTTTCTGCAGCCAACTTTCCCACTTTCACAAGAAACCCAATTATCATAATATGTCACAGTCATCCAAAAACCTTGCTAAATCACCCATACAGTTCAGATTCAAGGATTAAAGAGCAGAAATCTCCCATTTTTGAAGTGAAACATTTAGGGACACATAGGCAGTCCATTAATTAGTATTTTTTTTTTTGTTCAACCATCAAATTGAAAGAAAAAAAAAGACCCATTGCACACACACACACACACAATGTGGATAATCGAACCATTCCCACTGAGACTTCCCATCCGTCAAAGCCAGTAGTGCTAATCATGCAGAAATTTTTCCAACAGGCTGGTTGTCCAGACGTTAATTGGTAGATCAACTGCTGTACAATCAACCTGCCCATACATGGATTGAAATTCGTCCATCCCTGCTGAACGACCACATTTCGATCTATGTATGGCTAGCAATATAAATACACCCCAACCTGCTCAGCCCCTTTATTCATGACTCAAACTATTTGTTCCCAAATAGGCGAATACAGTACTGTCCAGAATTGTGTCCGTTATCATAGATAACAATTATAACTCCCAAAGATGCCTTCAGATCGTGGCTAATATTCTCCTTGTTTTGTACGTAAAGGTTGTAATGCAACCAACCATTCTCACTAGTCCAGTATTTGTAGTCCAGTAAAACTTACTGGATGGTATATCTGCTCTACTCAAAAATGCATAGAAAATATATAGTTGGGTCTAGATATTTACAGATCTATGCATACGTGTACGTTTATGTGATTGCTGTAGTTACTGAGGTAATGTACTATGATTTGCTTTTCCAGTTCCACGGTATACACAAGTCTCCATCTTGCAGAATTGAGTAGAAATGGGAGACACAGAGGTGCATGCCATCCAGACTAGGCAATGGTTCCTCAATCAGTCGTCGACAACAATCAATCATTTGTTTGCTGGATACACTGGGCTCCTTATATAGTCTGCTCAGAGAAGCTCTTTCCTTGCAAGCTTTGGTTAGCTCCTGTTCTACAATTTTTAACCTAAATAGGAAAAAAAAAATCTTAATTCAGACACCTAGATCACATTATGGAAGAGTGGAAAAAACAAACATTTATCTAGATTACACAAGGAAGCACAATTTCACCTTGAATACAAATGAGCAAATACAAAGCAAATCACAAAGCATTGCACATCTATATTAAATGAGGTTGTGTTTTATTTTAAACTCTTTTTGTCTTTGTTGTCTATAGCAACATATCAGATCCCCTTCTACTTCATGATCCATAATATCTTGGATGTGTTTTCTAGCAGAATTTGTGTGGGGAAATGAACCTTAGAGATATATTGTGATTAACTCTAAAAGCTCTCAGTTGCCAAGACGAACACATCTAAGCTATAGAACTTCATAGGGAACACTTACTCCTCTTTCCTTTTCAGGTTGTCTCTTGCTTTCTGTGCATGTGTCAGAAGAAACCATTGCAGGGATGCAGGATCAAATACAGATGGTATGCTGAAGTGTCCCATCTCATGTAACCGTGGCACAAAACGATCACTGTAATTTGGGAAAATAATGTGTAATAGTAACATACATCAAAGACAGAAAGATCAAATATATGGAAGCTACTATTGCGGAGTTCCTTCTGAATATGTAGTCTGTCTGGAGAACAGACTGGAGAGCAGGACGGCTCCAATCACTTGTTTGACATTAAACACTGATTTTAAACCAGCACCTGGATCGACTCCATTCGGTCTTCCAGATTTTGATTATAAATACTTCAATCTTTAATAAGCCGTGATGGAGCAAACCCCTAAAACACGTTGAACTTTGTCCTATATGACTTCAAATATAAAACATTTCTGGACACACTGACTTCAGCACTTTTCCTTCAACACAGGCCAGGAGAAAGAAAGCAAACCACTTCTCACTTCACTTATGGCATACTTGCTCCAGATTATTAAATATATTCTTAATGCTTAAAGTGTTACTAAAGGCAGATTTAAAAAAAAATTTAAATAACAAACATGTTATTGAGGAGAGAGAGTAGAGAGAGATGTTACTTTTGGGCACAGTGCTGGATCAAGATCACGCTCAGGTAAGTATGGGGAGACTGGGGGAAGAGCAGCACACAGAAGGTTTATTACCTTAATGCAGAGGATGCATAAAAGGTAAAAAAATTCAGGCTTTAAATTCACTTTATTTTACAGTCACAAAGTTCTGAAAACTAGCTGAAGATGACTTCAGACAGCAATCGTGCACGTATGCTACCTACAATCACACCCTTATCATACAAAGTACATTGGGTTATGCGTTTGTGTTTAGTGAGCATGGAAAATAAGTGTCAACCAACCCAAAACTTCTATAGTAGGAGCTACCTCAGAACAAGTGAGGGCAACTGTTATGTGCAGTACTGAAAATTCTTCCATTTTTCCTTGGAAGGTGCAATATTTCACATTGTTGTGCAGAATACAATTCTGCCACCCACTGAAAAAGGGAACTGCTACCCTTAGCACAGGATCTATAGGAGTGAGGCAAACTGACATGCCAGGCAAATGGAAGATCCTAAGGTGGGCCCAGAGTATGCGGCCCAAAAATAATATAAAAGCACCTAACATAGGGCTTTCATTGGTCATTCTCTTTGCTTGCCTCTGTGCTCCAAGCTTTCCAACCACAAGGCCCCAGCTATGTCACTGCCATCAATGACCACAGCAACTTCAGAAAATGTTTTAAGATTGAGAGCTGTTGCCTCTTCTGCTGTGCCTGCACAGCTAGACACAGACATACATATAAGGATTGATACTGGACCACTTGACCTCCCCACATCAGTACCCTCTAAACTAACTACATAAATATCAGCACGCACAGACGAGCCCTGAGCAGTGTTGGAGATCGCGCTGGTTAGCTATGTGGGCTGGGCATCCAGGAAAGAAGAGACATGTGGCATGGTAGTGGGCAGTAAACTTCAACAAACTACATACTCAGGACTGTGTGATAGTAGAATTTATTTGGGGGGCACTCACTTCTGGATTGGTATTTCTGGCATTTGTGGTATTTGGGTGGCCATCTTCTTTAGTAAGTGACCCAGAAAAACCTAAAGTAATTTCAATAACTGACTGACAAAAATTAAACTATATTCTATGGCACGATCATAATGATATCATTTATTTGGGGGTCAGTCACTCTCCTCTGGACTGAAAATGCTGGGAGATGTAGAAATCAAACAGATTACAGTCAATATTTGCAAGACTGTCATAAATACAAAGTATAATTTTTTAATTTGTGGAATCATAAATAAAGACAGACAATGTTGTTGGATGAACACTGTTCAACACAACAGTTGTGTGGTGGTAAAAAAAAAAAAAAAATTGACAGGTTGGCCAGGTGAAACCCAAAACCTAAGTTTCTCTTAGGTAGGAGTTTATGAAAAAAAAAAAAAAAAAAAAGTCAAATGGTAAAACAATAGTGTTAAAATGGTAAGTGGTTCTGGACTGAATCCTTTCAAATTAGAACATACACCCAACACAGATGTTATTCTTACACAATTATATATAAAAAACTATTGTATTGCTGAAGGTAGTGTTCTCTTTTTCCTGTTTTATACTCTCAATAAGGTCATGTCATCTGTATGCGCACCCAGGAAAATGAAAAGCACTCACTTTTCCAGAATCATCTGCAGGCCTCGTAGACTGCGAGGATGGATAGGGACTCTTCTTTTCAGCAGCTTGTTAGAGAAGGCATCTAGGGCTGAGTAATATTCCTCCATGGATAGCAGTGGTTGCAGCTCTTCAATGTGCACAATTTCTATACCTCCTAACAGATGGCTGACTCGGTCCTGTAGCTGCAGTACCTTTCTTTGAAGGAGGTAGTAGCTGGGTATACTTTCGAAGAGCTTATTATAAAAGAGAGAATAAAATGTAACATGTCACTTTCATGTGCAAAGTTCAAACCAGAGAGATATAGGTAGCAAGTGCAAAAAAAAGTTTTCAAAAACACCAAAAGGTTTCAACAATTTGTTATTTCCATTGTTACCTTGATTATTATGTATAACTTATTGTGTCAGAAATGGGCATTAACCTGAACACTGATACACAGGTGAGATTCTAATGGATAGGCTGCCAACACACCAAAACATCTAAAAAAAAAATGTAAATGCATATTATTTTGCAGCACAGTGCACCATAATGCATGGTAGTGTACTACCATGCGTTGCATTGTACTTCTCTTAGTGCATTGAGGTGCTATTGAAAATGACTGAAAATGGTCCCTGACAGCTGATGGTTTCAGTATTTAAACAAACCAGGACCTGCAGCCAATGAGCTCCGATATTGCTTTAAAATCTACACTGGTACAAATAGCTGCTATCCCAGCACCTGCGACTCAAGTGGTCAAAGAAAAAGGTATGCATTTCAAATTAGACTGTAAATAAAAGCAAAATAGGATTTTTGACTTACTGGTAAAATCTGTTTCTTGCAGTACAGTACAGAACACAAAGAGTCTTAGACTGAGTTATGTGCAGCTACCTTCAAGTGGAACTAAACTTTCTCAATCAACATTAACTACTTTAAATCCTTATGCTGCTAGCATTGGTAAACAGACAGGAATGTAGATTATATTTACGTGTTTAAAACTTTTCTTCAGTTGCCTCCTGGTTTCTGGCCTAGACAACAATGACGTTATACATCCCATGGGTCTTCATGAGCAGGGGAGGAGGGGCTTTCTCAACTAAACACATCCTCCTGCCTACATGCCTGACCTACAAGCAGATGGATTCCAGACAGTATATGCTACATGAATCATCTGCATTATTCAAGATTGCTAGGCTGGGTTTTTTTTTTAAATGATTCCTTAACAAAATGAAGAATGGAGACATGGATGGACAGCGAGTTTGCTTCCAGTACCAGCTGTGCACCAGCCACGCAGACTAATAGCACAGCTTCCAGATTGGTACTCTAGGCACGGCATTGGGACCATACCCGGACTCAGCCCAATGGGGGATGCAGGGCTAGCCTGCAATGTCAATTACAGCCATGGACACCTCTCATTCTGCAGAGGATCTGCGAGTACCCCTTGTTGGTAAAGTCTCACTAGTTTACCGTTACCTAGTATCCTATGGAGATCCTGGCATAGATTACCTAATCAGCGTCTGCCCTCTGGTGGATCTGTGAGCAGACCCATGTTGGTAGTATCCCACTTGCATACCATTATTCCATTATTCTGTTATTCGGCATCCTTTGGTGCCTTAGTCACACAGCCATTAGCTTTTCCTGTTCTACAGTGAGTTGTGTGCACTTTTCAGCATTTTCTTCCTTTTTTGGGCCTTTTTTGTGACTGTTCATCCAGATGCAGAGGATTCTATGATTTGAGTACTGAACAGTGCTAGGAACAGACCTTGGCAGGGGAAAATCTCTATGGAGGGTACTTGGACTTACTTAGAGGTCACAGGTGGCAGGAGTTTACTTTGCCTGGCCAAAGAAGGTGAAGCTTCAGCAGGCAAATCTTCAACGTCAGAAGAGTCTCAGAGTTCTTTTGCCCCTCCCAGGCTTTCACCTCTATGTCCAAGTCCGGCGGTCAGTTCGCTACTAATCTGGGACTCCTAAGCAGGCTAAAGTGGTAGTAAACTCTTAGTCTCTTATTCATTTTACCTACAGGTAAGCTTTATTATAATCTTACCTGTAGGTAAAATTACTATCTACTAAATGTGAACCGTTTAGCAGATATTAGCCCTTTTTGATATTTGGCGCATGTGCTCTGAAAGAACAGCATACCCTTGCCATTCCTTCAGAGCACTGTGCCATGGCCTGAGACTCCAAGGGCTCCAAGAAAGGGCTGCAAGGGCTGGGACAGTGATAATAATGGGGGGATTTTAACTACCCGGAAATTGACTGGAGTAATGGTACTGCAGGAACAGTTAAAGGGCAAAAGTTTTTAAACCTACTACAGGACAATTTTATGGTACAGTTCATAGAGGCCCCTACTAGGAATGATGCTCTGCTGGACCTGGTAATCTCAAACCATGCAGAGCTTATTATGACTGTCCATATAAAAGAACATCTGGGTAGAAGTGACCATAACATGGTTTCATTTATTGTTAGCTGTAAACAGCAAGCACATACGGGAAAAATAAAAATGCTCAATTTCAAGAGAACTAATTTTCCAAGGCTGAGAGCTGCTCTCCAAAACTTAGACTGGAAGGGAATATTGGCATTGATGAACACAACACAGAAATGGGGGTTCTTCAAAAAGACTGTATGTGAACACACTGCAAAATATATTCCCATGGGCAACAAGTTTAAAAGGCTAAAAATCAAACCTATGTGGCTTACGGCCAAAGTTAAAATTGCTATAGATAATAAGAAAAGAGCTTTTATTCAATATAAAAATGAAGGAACAAAATCATTGTTTAAACATTACAAAGAATATAACAGAATATGCAAAAAGGAAATAAAGGCCGCAAAAATTGAAAATGAACGACAGATTGCAAAAGATAGCAGGACAAACCCCCCAAAATTCTTCAAATAAATTAATAGCAAAAAGGTTCGGTCCGAGCATGTAGGCCATTTACAAAATAATCTAGAGTGGGTGACTGGGGACAAAGAGAAGGCAAATTTATTTAATACCTTCTTCAGCTCTGTGTATACAAAGGAGTATGGGGGAGCTCTTGTCCATAATGGACATGGTATTGACACAGCTCCAGATGATCCACATTGGCTCATAATTGATATGATCCAAAAATATTTAGACAGTATAAAGGTGAATAAAAGCACCTGGACCGGATGACATACACCCACAGGTCCTTAAAGAATTAAGCTCTGTTATTTCAAAGCCATTGTTTCTAATTTTTAGGGGCTCTTTAATGACTGGCATAGTACCACTGAATTGGCGTAAGGCCAACGTGGTGCCAATATTTAAAAAGGGGTCAAAATCTTTACCAATAATTATAGACCAGTTCGTTTAACTTCTAAAGTTGGGAAGATACTGGAGAATTTAATAAAAGACCAAATAGATGAGTTCTTGCTGGAAATAAATATATTTTAAGCGACAGCATGGATTCATGAAAGACAGAAGTTGTCAAACACATCTGATTTCTTTTCATGAGGGGGCGAGCAAAACCTTGGACAGAGGGGTGGCGGTGGACGTGGTATACTTGGATTTTGCAAAAGCGTTTGACACAGTTCCCCACACACGGCTAATGTGTAAGGTAAAGTCTACTGGCTTGGAAAAATCTGTATGTAAATGGATAGAAAACTGGCTAAAAGATCGTATTCAAAGAGTAGTGGTTAACAATTCATACTCTGAATGGTCTAGGGTTGTCAGTGGTGTACCCCACGGTTCAGTGTTGGGACCCTTACTTTTTAAATACATTTATAAACGATATAGGGTCTGAGTTAAAATTCCCATTTCAGTATTTGCAGATGACACCAAGCTGTGCAGTAGAATAAAGTTCTTACAGGGTGTCTCCAACTTACAAGCTGACCTCAATGTACTGTTTAATTGGGCAACTATGTGGCAAATGAAGTTTAATGTTGATAAATGTAAGGTCATGCACTTGGGGGCTAAGAATATGCATGCATCATACATACTGGGGGGGGGGGGGGGGGTACAACTGGGGGAATCAATGGTGGAGAAGTATCTGGGGGTTCTGGTAGATCACAAGCTTAATAATGGCATGCAATGCCAAGCTGTGGTTTCCAAAGCGAGCAAAATCCTCTCTTGTATTAAAAGATGTATAGACTCCAGAGAGAGAGGGAGATATATTACCCCGGTACAAATCATTAGTAAGAACTCATCTGGAATATGCAATTCAGCATTGGGCACCAATTCATAAAAAAAAACATTGGGGAACTGGAGAAAGTACAGAGAAGGGCAACTAAACTGATAAGAGGCATGGAGGAGCTCAGCTATGAGGAAAGATTAGAGGAACTGAATTTATTCGCTCTTAAGAAGAGGAGATTAAGGCGGGATATGATCAACATGTATAAATACATCAGTGGTTCATATAGTGAACTCGGTGTAGAGTTATTCACCCTGAGGTCATCACAGAGGACAAGGGGGCACTCTTTACGTCTGGAGGAAAATAAATTTAATCTCCAAAACACGGAAAGGTTTCTTCACAGTGAGAGCTGTGAAAATGTGGAATGGACTCCCTCAAGAGTTGGTTCTGGCCAGATCAGTGGATTTCTTCAAAAAAGGCCTGGATTGTTTCTTAGATACACAGAATATAACTGGATACTAACAATTATAGGTAAATTGATCCAGGGAATATCCGATTGCCTCTCGGGGGATCAGGAAGGAATTTTTTTCCCAGCAGAAGCAAATTGGATCGTGCTTTGCTGGGTTTTTTTTACCTTCCTCTGGATCAACTGTGGGTATAGGATTATAACTTTTTTTTTTTTTCCTATGGTTGAACTGGATGGACGTTTGTCTTTTTTCAGCCAGACTATGTAACTCCAGGGCACGCGTTTGAGTGCCGTAATTGCGGCTTGGCCAGCCAGCTGGCCAGGGCTCGCAAACCCAGAAGGAAGACTGGGTGAAGCCCCAGGGAGCTGTGACAAGGCTCCACTGGAGGGCTTCTTTCAAAGGTAAGTCCTTCATAATGTGCTAGTATGCAATAAATACTAGCACTTTATGCCTTTACCTTGCAGGGTTTTTTTCCTTTTTTTTTTTTTAAATGCAGTTTATTACTGCTTTAAGACTGGCACAAGCTTCCCTTGCAGTGACAGGGCACCCTCACTTCTTTAAGTAATGTTTGTCTGTCTTTGTGACCCTCTGGGTTCAGGATATTCTGGACCTGCGGGTTCAAAAAATGCTGTCTCCAAAGAGTACAGTTTGGAGTTTTGTTTTCCTCTAGCACTCAGATACCTTCCTAATCTGTCCTTTCACCTTTAATGAGAGAGGAATCTTTATGCTGCACAGCAGAAACTGTTTGAATTGGGGTTCGTTTTGTCCCTCTCCCCTAGAAAAAGGGCTTTCAGGGTTTCTACTTCAACCAGTTTATGGTTCCTAAGGTCAAGGGTGGCATCCTCCTCATTCGGAATCGAATATCTTGAAACATCTTCCATTGGGTTCAGAAGTTTTAAAATGAATAGGCTAAGTTGGATTTTGCCTCCCTTCAACAAGGGAATCTCATTGTTTTCAGGGACATCCCAGATGCCTATTTAGATTTCCCCCCATCTTCTCTCACACCAGCGCTTTTTGTGTTTTATGGCAGGAGATCGGCATTTTTAGTTTTTGCTCTACCATGTGGTCTGCCATTGGCCCCATGGATACATGAAAGTGCTAGCCCATCTCCTAGCTCTGATGGGGTGGCCACATTATCTGGATGACCTGCTGTTACAAGGCTGTTCAGACCAGGCACTTTATGCCAACACGCAACAGACAATGTAGATTCTGCAGGGTTTTGGATAGGTCCTCAACTTTTAAAAATCTGCGTCAAATTGAACTCACTGCCTAGATTATACAGGTTGGCCTTTGACACGAACTAGGTTTCAGTCTCTCTTCCTCCAGAACAAATTCTGTCCCCTTCACTCTCTAGTCTGAACTCTTCAATCAAGAAGACATGATACTGGAGCCAATAATACCCTCTTTTGAGGTTGTGCCTAGTTTCTCTCCAGGTTGCTGTGACTAAGCATTCAGGTTGTGTGGGACAACCTGATTTAGTCTCTGGACTGCCCCATGCCTTTGTTATCTGAAGGTAGGCTATACCCAAGATGTTGATGGTAGAGGGAACCTTGATATAGAAGGATTCCAAATTTTCACTCAACATTCTGGAACTTGGGGGCATTCATAGTCTCCTCAGTTTTTAACTATTCAGTTTTGGGTTTCCCAATGAGAGTTCAATCACACAATGCCATAGCTGTGGCCTACATCAACTATCAAGGGAGAACCAGTAGCCATGCTGCTCAAAAGAGGCTTAAATGATTCTGGATTGGGCAAAACAGCACACCCTGGCTTTGACTGCCAAACATATTCCTGGCATGAAATGTTGGCAGGCAGATTTCCTCAGCTGATAACAGCTGGACTTGGGGAAGAGGCCCCCTCCACCCAGGGTGTTTTTTGTAGACCTCTGTCGCAAGGTGTGGTAGGGATGTGGACTTTCTACCGTCTAGGTTCTACACCAAACTGGCCTTGCTCTCGTCCAGTCTGGATCTGCATTTGGCCTTGAGCAACCTCAAAAGACATCATCTAGTGACCACTGGCCTTTCACTACTTGGTGAATGCTAGTGCCCCTAGGTTGTTCTCTGGTGACTCCATATGATCCTAACCTGGTTTTTATCATCCCTTTAGGGCCACCTTGCAAATCTATGAAGTAAATTCCCTTGGCTGACTTTACGCACAAGGTTTTTCTCCTTGTTGCACTTAGTTTTGCACCTTTTAACCTTTTTATGTAAGGAACCATTCCTGTAGTGGCTTAGGAATAAGGTTGTTTCAAGGCCTCAGGCTTCACTTTTGCCTTGGTGGTCTCTTTCCATCTAAGCCAGCACACCACCCTTTGTTTTTTCTGTCCTGCTCCAAAACGAGCTCCACTGTTTGGATATGGTTCGTGGTGTAAGGGTTTACCTCTTGGCTATGGCTTTCTATCAGCAATCAGATTGCCTTCTTTTCTTCTGAAGGTTGTCGCAGGGGCTTTTCCCGTTTCTCATTTCATCTGTGTCAGGTGGATAAAGAAAATCATTGTTCAAGCCTATTCATTGAGAAATAGCGTTCTTCCCTTTCCTGTTAAGGCACCATATCTGCGGGTGCCTCTTTGGCTTTTCAGCACCAGGCAGCTGTTTCATAGAAGTGCTAGGTTGCCACTTGTTCACACACCTGCATATTTACTATGTGGATGTTCAAGCCTATGCTGATGTCAGCTTCAGTCGGAAGGTGCTACTGATTATGGTTAGATGTTAGGGTTCTTGAACTTTGGTTGTGTGGACCTGCTTTTTTTTTTTTTTTTTTTTTTTTTTTTTTTTTTAGTTGCCCACTCTTTGATTTCTATAGCTATTGGACTTCCCAGTCACCTATGACTGCCTGTGTCCTGTACAATATAAGAAAGAAAACAATTTTTTGACTTACCTGTGAAATCTTTTTCTTGTGAGTACATTAATGGACCCTCCCTTGGCTGTGGATCCTTTTCTTTTTTGCTAAAAAAATTTGATTGCTAGGAGTGAGAGTGGTTTTATGGGGGTTCTTACAGCTCTGATTTGCCAGCGTCCAATCACTTGAATTTAGCTGCAAAAAAACCCAGTTGTCTATGACAAGGAAAGGATTTTACTGGAAATGTTCAAAAGCATACCTTTGCTTTAACCACTTGAGATGCAGGGGTAATTTTAAAATGGCATGGGGATAGCAGCTATTGGTACCATTGCTGTTTTAAAGCAACATCAGGACTCAGTGGCTACAGGTCCTGGTTTGCATAAAAGCTGGAACTACCAGCTGTCAGGATCCATTCACACTGTTGTCATTCCTTTTCAATAGCACCCCAACGCACTACACAGTGGATTGCAATGCAACACACAGCAGCACATTACCATGCCTTGTGGTGCATCTTGCTGCAAAATATGGTGCAATTCAGTTTTTTGGACATTTTGGTGTATCGTGGGTCATCCATTTGATTGAGGGCCAGGTCTAGTGGGGGTGCTGCAGTGTGTTCTGCGGGGGGCCCCCCAAATTTTGCCTTGCCCCCCAGGACCAGTGGCATCAGCAAGGGGGACCCTATAATAAGGCACTGAAGCCTAGCCCAACCACTGCGAAACATCTAGCCACAAGGATAAAATTAATGTGTGCCCCCCCCCATTCAGACAGGCTAGATCTGGCCCTGCAATGCAAAGGATTTTCAGCAGGATTTAGCAAAAGATTTGCAGCAGTTTATATTTATGGTCTCTGAAGAGTTCGGCTTAGATCTGTGATCTATTTATCACTGCACTTGCCTTAGTTCTTTGCTTCTAAAACATGACCATGCAGTGCTATTTTTGAGGAGCAGAAGGGAGAATGTATGAATCAAGCTGGAATCTTAAAGTATATTTGGCACACAGTCTGTCTCATTCCTCCTGTTTTGCATTGCTTTGCTGTGTGGCAGAGTTGATGCATTTCCTTACTACATGTTAAAAAAACCATCTGAATAAACCAGCAAAGACAAAGACATCAGTTTATTTAATTGATAAATATCCTGATGGACAAACAGACTGTTTTTCCCATGCCCTAGGGAATTGAAAACATATTGAACATTCTTTGAAGAGAAGCACAGACAGAACATTATTACTAAAGTCTCCTGTATGCTATAAAACTAAACTTTTGCCTACAATATGGATATAAATCAAACACTAAAATGTTTCAGCAGCACAATGCAAACATCCGGCATCTACCATGCTAGCTTTTGCTCGAGAGCTACTTAAAGCAGTTTCTCTTTCATCCTGCTCAGGAAGGCCAGGTCATTAGAATGATTTGGTGACCATATCAGAACACACAGAAGGAATGCTGCATCAAATTAAGGTTAGTAAAGGAAAGGCTGGGCAGGCAAGCAATAATGGACATTGTGTGAATTAAGACTTAGAATCTCCTTATTGTATGCCTTTTAACAAGATGTACCCAAGGATCACAAGACATTCAGTAACAGAATCTAGATGCTACAGAGTTCATTGTACCCCAAACTACTTTGAGAGGTGCAACAGCATTAAAATCTATATATAATACATGTACATTTCTCTTTCCTTCACATCCCCCTTTTCTTCTCTAAGTCTCTGGCAGGCTTATGTTTGAAAAGTAGTTCAAATTCTACACTAGGGCCTTGTGGCTTTTAGCAAGTGGGCCACACATTACCCAAATATTACAAGTGATGCAACACATCCAAGCATTTGTACATGTGAGTATTGTATGAGTTAATTTTCATTTGCTGGCAACACTGAAAAGTCTGTTCATGTATGGATGGCTTAACCTTCCAGTGTTTCTCCCAATAAATGTTGCATGCATATATGACAATTATTAATAAAACAGTTTCTCAAGGAATAATCTATTACCTGTGCCATGGGCAAGTGCTGAATAAAGAATGATTGTTGTTTACCTTGGTCCAGTGGTGATGGACATCTGTGGTCCCAAGCAGTACATGTCCTGCTGCACTCATGCCTGTTCGATCTGTAAATATCACTACGCGTCCTAAGCAGAAAAATATGATCATGCAATAGCTACAGCAAGACAAGTAAAAAAAAAAAAGTAAAACATAATTTAACAAGATGAAGAGGCACATACACGAGATATAACTGAAAACACACAAGGTTTCCACTAACTCTCGGTGCCTGTGCAAAAGAGAGAGAGAGACACACACACACACAGAGAGCGAGACAGAGAGAAAGCAAAAGAGAGAGAGAGAGAGAGAGAGAGAGAGCAAGAGAGCAAGCACAAGAGAGTGCAGAGCGGGAGAAAAAAAACCCTGCATATTACGTCATTAACTCCCTGCTGCCAGTTCAACAAAAATCACCAAAACCAAAATTCTCCCATATAAAACAATTCAAAAACAATAACCAGATTATAGGTCAACCAAAACTGCAAAGGAATGTAAAGCTTCAGCAATACCACAAGATGTGGTGTGATGGAATATTTACCCTTGGCCATCTTTAAAGACTCACTGCTTTGTTGAGTTAGTCGGCTTAGGCTATGAAGTTGCCCACAACGGTGAGCAATACCCCAACTTCTCTGCCATCTGTAAAGAGTAGAAACACAATTTAGATCCATGAAGCCAACTTATAAAATTTAGCATATAAATAAATAACACCCCCCCCCCCATAAATACAAAACTAAATATCAAATCTAATAAAATACAATTTGATAATCAACAGACATTTCTGTACAGTTACCTCTTCTGGATTACAGTGCATCCATAAAGTATTCACAGCGTTTAAAGCTGAAAAAAAAAAAAAAATAAAAGTCAGCAGCTACAAATAGTGTAGCTGCTGACTTTTAAAATTCAGCCACTTACCTGTCCCACGATCCTGCGATGTCCTCACCACTGCTGGTTTCATCGGTCGTCTCTTCTCCCTGGTGCCGGCATCTTCAGTGTGGGCACCCGGCTGAGACAGCTCACAGCTTCACAGCCGGGTGCCCACTGCACTTGCGCGAGAAGCGCTGCGCTTTGTGAATGGCCCCGTAGTCTTCTGGGACCTGTCAAATGTCCCACAAGACTACGTGGAGGGGGGCCTAGGCAATTGCAGGAGAAGTGGGAGATGGTACCTGTAAAATTCGGGTACCCCCTCCCCCCCCCTCAAAGGTGCCAATTCTTAGTGGGGAGCAGGGGACAAAGGCTTAAAGCGGAACTTCCCATTTTAAGTGGAGCTCCGCTTTAACTTTTGCCACATTATGCTATGTTACAGCCTTATTCCAAAATGGATTAAATTAATTTTTTTCCCTCAACATTCTACAAACAATACCCCATAATGACAATGTGAAAGAAGTTTGTTATGAAATATTTGCAATTTATTAAAAAAAAAAAAAAACAACACACATGTATATAAGTATTCACAAGCTTTGCCATGACACTCAATATTGAGCTATGGTGCATCCTGTTCCCACTGATCATCCTTGAATGTTTCCGCAGCTTGATTGGAGTCCACCTGTGGGAAATTCAGTTGATTGGACATGATCAGGAAAGGTTTAAACCTGTCTATATAAGGTCCCACAGTTAACAGTGCATGTCAGAGCACAAGCAAGCCATGAATCCAAGGAATTTTCTGTAGACCTCCGAGACAGGATTGTATCAAGGCACAGATCTGGGGAAGGGTAAGTTTGGAACCACCAGGAATCTTCCTAGAGTGGGCCGTCTGGCCAAAATGAGCGATCGAGGGAGAAGGGCCTTAGCCAGGGAGCTAACCAAGCACCCGATGGTCACTCTGAAAGAGTGACAGCTTTTCTCTGTGGAGAAAGGAGAACCTTCAAGAAGAACAACCATTTCTGCAGCACTCCACCAATCAGGCCTGTATGGTAGAGTGGCCAGACGGAAGCCACTCCTCAGTAAAAGGCAAATGGCAGCCCACCTGGAGTTTGCCAAAAGGCACCTGAGGGACTCTCAGACCATGAGAAACAAAACTCTCTGGTCTGATGAAACAAAGATTGAACTCTTTGGCCTGAATACCAAGCATCATGTCTGGAGGAAACCAGGCACCGCTCACCACCTGGCCAATATCATCCCTACAGTGAAGCATGGTGGTGGCAGATCATGCTGTGGGGATGTTTTTCAGCAGCAGGAATTGGGAGACTAGTCAGGATCAAAGGAAAGATGAATGCAGCAATGTACAGAGACATCCTTGATGAAAACCTGTTCCAGAGCGCTCTGGTCCTTGTCCTGTTGAAAGATGAACCGTCACCCCAGTCTAATGACCCTAAGCACACAGCCCACATAACAAAGGAGTGGCTATGGGCCAACTCTGTGAATGTCCTGGAGGGCGCAGACTTGAACCAGATTGAACATCTCTGGAGAGATCTGAAAATGGCTGTGCACAGACGCCCCCCATCCAACCTGATGGAGCTTGAGAGGTACTGCAAAGAAGAATGGGAGAAATTGCCCAAAAGTAGGTGTGCCAAGCTTGCAACATCATACTCAAAATGACTTGAGGCTGTAATTGGTGCTAAAGGTGCTTCAACAAAGTAATGAGCAAATGCTGTGAATACTTCTGTACATGTGTTTTTTTTCGTTTTTTATTTTTAATAAATTGCAAAGATTTCAAAACAAACTTCTTTCACGTTGTCATTATGGGGTATTGTTTGTAGAATATTGAGGAAAAAAATTAATTTAATCCATTTTGGAATAAGGCTGTAACATAACAAAATGTGGCAAAAGTTAAGCGCTGTGAATACTTTCTGGATGCACTGTATATGCATAATATACACATCTAATTAATAGTAGCAAGATTTGACCTTTGAGCTCTATTAGTACCCCTTCTCTGGTCTTGTGCTGCCAAGCAGCAGTTTGCAGTGAAGAGTACACTATCAGCATATGCACAAATGGTAATGTACCAAAGCACATTGAGTTAAAACTTTCAAATCAAAGCTTCCTGAGTTCAAAGCATTGTAATATGTTTTGGATAGGTCCTATAAGTTTCAATACAGATGCAACCTTTTTACCAAGGGAATGGATGTATGGCACCAGTCTGGAAGTCTGTAGTTTTGACATTTTATTAACACAAGTGTTTTTCATACAGCTGCGCAGTGCCAGATTTTTCAGGTCAATTTCCCTATGGTGGAGAACAGGTTTTGAATAATAATTTTAATTAGTATGTTTTTACAAGAGTGTATTTCTGGGTATGGATGTTTTAAGTGGACATAAAGTCTTGCAATTGTATTCAATAATTGGTGTGTATCTAGCGATATTTAGATTACGTATATCATGCATCCAAATTATAAAACACAGCAAGAGTGTTTCCCCCCTTACTAAGCAATCATCCTAATCACCTAGTTTATGACAATCATTTATTACATAAATATTGCCAACAATTCTTGGTGCACAATATCCTACCGGACATCAGACAACTGAAGTTGGTCGGACAAATCTTTCTTTAAACGTTCTAGTTCTTCTCTTAGAGGAATACTGTCTTGCAGCTTCTTTAGGGCTACTCCTTGGTTACTTTCTAACCATGGACTAAAAGAAAAAAAAAAAAAAAAAAATTAACTTGAGAGCCGATAAAACTGAAAAAAAAAAAAAAAAAAAATCAGAGTTAGATTCATGAAGAACATTAGGAATAAAACTATAAAATAAACTGGGAAATGTGCTAGCTTAAATTAAGCAGACACAACTATAGACCCGAGTTTCAAACTATACTGTAAGAAAGACCTACACATGCATTAACAATAGGATCTTACATGGCATTGAATGATGAGAGTAATTTGATTATTGCTTACAAAGCAATATGTAGTGAAATGTATTTATTTGAATAATGGCAATTCATGACTGTTTTTAAAGAGAAAAAAATCATAAACAGAAGTATACAGTTAGGTCCATATATATTTGGACACAGGAACGATTTTCATACTTTTGGCTCTGTATGCCACAAGAATAAATTAAAATGAAACAATCCAAATGAATCTGAAGTGCAGACTTTAAGCTTTAATTCAAGGGGTTGAACATAGATATCAAGTACAAATTTTAGGAACTGCAACTTGCCTGCCCTGCCATTTTCAAGGGCAAATGTAATTGGACAAATGAATATAATCATAAATAAAATGTTCATTTTTAATATTTTGTTGAGAATCCCTTACTGGCAATTACTGCCTGAAGTCTGGAACCCATGGACATTACCAAAGATTCTCCTAGATTGTAAGCTCCAAGGAGCAGGGCCCTCTAATCCCTCATGTATTGAACCGTATTGTTACTGTACTGTCTGCCTCCATAATGTAAAGCGCTGAGCAAACTGTCGGTGCTATATAAATCCTGTATAATAATAATAATAAAGACTGGGTTTCCTCCTTTCTGATGCTTTGCCAGGCTCTAACTGCAGCTGTCTTCAGTTCTTTGATTGTTGGTCTTTCTGCCTTTAGTTCCTTTAGTTTTGCCTTCAGCAAGTATAATGCATATTCAATTGGGTAGAGATAAGGTACAGTTGCAAGAAAAAGTATGTGAACCCCTTGGGATTACGTGGAGTTTTGCATGAATTGGGCATAAAATGTGCTCTGAACGTCATCTAAGTCACTACAATAGAAGAACACAGTCTGCTGAACATAATACTACACAAACATTAGATGTTGCCATGGTTTAATTGCACATAACATGTAAACATTCACAGTGCAGGGAGGAAAAAGTATGTGAGGCCCTAGATTAATGACTTCTCCCAGAGCTAATTGGAGCCAGGAGTGAGCCAACCTTGACTCCAATCAGTGTGATGATATTGGATGTGTTGCTGACAGCTGTCCTGCCCTTAAAAAACACACACCTGTTTTGGGTTTACTGGTTTCAAGAAGCACTGTCTGATGTGAACCATGCCTCACAGAAAAGAGCTCTCAGAAGACCTACGATCAAGAATTGTTGACTTGCATGAAGCTGGAAAGGGTTACAAAAGTATCTCCAAAAGCCTGGATGTTCATGTGTCCATGGTAAGAGACTGTCTACAATTGGAGAAAGTTTAGCACTGTTGCTACTCTCCCTAGGCATGGTCTTCCTGTAAAAATGACTGCAAGAGCACAGCGCAGAATGCTGCATGAGGTAAAGAAGAATCCCAGAGTGTCAGCTAAAGACCTACAGAAATCTCTGGCACATGCTAACATTTTTGTTGACACATTTACAATAAGGAAAACATTAAACAAGAATGGAGTACAAGAGAGGACACCACGAAGGAAGCCATTGCTGTCCAAAAAGAATATTGCAGTACGTTTGAAGTTTGCAAAAGAGCACCTGGATGTTCCACAGCACTACTGGCAAAATATACTGTGGACAGATGAAAGCAAGATTGAGTTGTTTGGGAAGAACACACAACACTATGTGTGGAGAAAAAAAAGGCACAGCACACCAACATCAAAACCTCATCCCCACTGTAAAACATGGCGGAGGGAGCATCATGGTTTGGGGCTGCTTTGCTGCCTCAGGGCCTGGACGGATTGTTGTCATTGATGGGAAAATGAATTCCAGAGTTTATCAAGACATTTTGCAGGAAAACGTACGACCATCTGTCCGCCAACTGAAGCTCCGCAGAGGATGGGTGATGCAACAGGACAATGACCCAAAGCATACAAGTAATTCAACAAAACAATGGCTGCAACAGCACAGAATACGCCTTCTGGAGTGGCCCAGTCAGAGTCCTGACCTCAACCCGATTGAAATGCTGTGGCATGACCTTAAGAGAGCGATTCACACCAGACATCCCAAGAATATTGCTACACTGAAACAGTTTTGTGAAAAGGAGTGGTCCAAAATTACTCCAGATCGTTGTGCAGGTCTGATCTGCAACTACAGGAAACGTTTGGTTGAGGTTATTGCTGCCAAAGGAGGGTCAACCAGTTATTAAGTCCAAAGGTTCACATACTTTTTCCTCCCTGCACTGTGAATGTTTACATGTTATGTGCAATTAAACCATGGCAACATCTAATGTTTGTGTAGTATTATGCTCAGCAGACTGTGTTTTTCTATTGTTGTGACTTAGATGACGTTCAGAGCACATTTTATGCCCAATTCATGCAAAACTCCACGTAATCCCAAGGGGTTCACATACTTTTTCTTGCAACTGTAATTGACTTGGCCACTGCAGAATATTCCACTTCTTTTCCTTTAAAAGCTTCTGGGTTGCTTTTGCAGTGTGTTTTGGATCATTGTCCATCTGTACTGTGAAGTGCCGTCTAATCAACTTTGCTGCATTTGGCTGAATCTGGACTGACAGTATCTCTCTAAACACTGCAGAATTCATCTGGCTGCTTCTGTCTTCGGTCACATCATCAATACACACCAATGACCCAGTGCCATTGGAAGCCATGCATGCCCATGCCATCACACTGCCTCCACCATGTTTTACAAATTATGTTGCATGCTTTGGATCATGAGCTGTTCCAAGCCTTCTCCACAACTTTTCTTCCCTTCATACTGGTACAGATTAATCTTAGTTTCATCTGTCCAAAGAATGCTTTTCCAGAACTGGTCTGGCTGTTTTTTGGCAAAGTCTAATCTGGATTTTCTATTCTTCAGGCTTATGAATGGTTTGCACCTTGTGGTGAACCCTCTGTATTTGCTCTTGTTAAGTCTTCTCTTGATTGTAGACTTTGACAATGATAAGCCCACCTCCTGGAGAGTGTCCTTCACTTGTCTGGATGTTGTGAATGGGTTTTTCTTTACCACGGAGGATCCTGCGATCATCCACCACTGTTGTCTTCCGTGGACGTCCATGCCATTTTTATGTTGCTGAGCTCACCAGTGCGTTCTTTTTCCACAGCATGTACCAAACTGTTGATCTGGCCACTCCTAATGTTTCTGTTCTCTGATGGATTTGCTTTGTTTTTGAAGCCTTACAATGACCTGTTTCACTTGCATGGACTTCTCCTTTGAAGACTTGGTGTAGGTTCACAGCAATAGATTCAAAATGCAAATACCACACTTAGAATCAACTCCAGACCTTTTAGCTGCTTAATTGATGAAGAAATAACGAAGGAGTAGCCCACACCTGGCCATGAAACAGCTTTTGATCTATTTGTCCAATTACTTTTGTTTCCTTGAAAAAGGGGGGGGTGGCTACTCTTAAGAGCTGTAATTCCTAAAACCTTCCTCCAAATTAAACCTGAGAGTTTTCACTTTCAGCCCATATCCATTATATAAATATAGCTTGAATATGCTTTGGTAAATACCTAAAAAAAAACTAAAACTGTGCCTGTGTCCAAATATATATGGACCTAAGTGTGCTGATAACCCAGACTCCTTTTATAAAGGCTAATTCTTTGGCTGGCATTATGGTTCTCCAATTTCCCTATTTAGTGATTCAATGACCCAGAACAAGAACTGCAGATTAGATGATTTCTTTCATCCATTTTTATAAAGAAAAATGTCTTGAATCAAACCTATTCATTTTCTGATACTAGGTTTGGTACAGCATGGATTACATCATATCCTCTCCTTTCTCTCTGCAGTAAAAGGAAACTACAGTTCCCATCAACCACAGGAAGTGTGGGCAGGTACACTAGGCTTGTACATGTTGAATGTGCCTGAGAGTCTGTATTCACCCATCACTGCAATTGGGGCTGAATTACATCACTTCTTCCTGAAGAAAAAACTACAGAGGGGATGTCTCAAGACCAGTGGCTGGGGGAAAAGGAGGCATAGCAGCCACCAGTCTTACAGACAGGAAACCAAAAAGAATGAACAGTTTGATTTGAAAATGAATAGGCCATTTTAGAGCAACTAATGAGTGAACCAGAAGATGGATGACATATTCAGGTAGGAAATCAGCAGTAAGAACATGTAAAAAAAAGTTTTTGCCCAGAGTTCTGCTTTAAAGTGTTACTAAACCAGCAACAGTAAAATCAGTCTGTATATGCAGTAAAGCATGCTTGTTATATTCACTGTGGAACCTAAGGGGTTAATCCTCCGCATTATGTAAAAAGGCTGTTTAAGACTGTCTTCTCCGATCCTCCCCTTCTAATGTCCCCAATCCATTTGCTGATAGTACAGAGCTCTAGAAGTCACTCTGCACAAGCTCCAGACAGGAGGGTCAGATGTCATGCAAACTCATAGGACAATCAGGGGAGAATAAAAACTCCTCCTACAAGCTTTCACCCTTGCTCAGCCATACACTGATAGAAGTCACAAGAGTGCTATATACTGCTGATGAGAAAAGGTAATTATCAGTTTATGTTTACTACAATAATTGCTTTTCCATGTTCTGTGCACTGTGGAAGACCAGATAGAGTGAATGTAGGGTCCTGGGTTTAGTAACACTTTAGGTATAGGCAGCGTTACTTCATCGAAGCTCAAAAACTGTTTTTAATGATAATAAGGTACAGCTTTTTTTTATATTTTATTGTTGTATATTGTGAAATGTCAGTAGTTTATACAAGCTGAAAGGTTAGCTTTAATATTGGCAACTGAGTAGTTAACACACGATACAAAAACTGTTCCCTTAGTCCCTTTGATAAGGGGCAACACCCACAAGAATCAAAGAAACATTACTAATATTGCTTTGGATGTTACTTGCATAATAGTTATTTCTGCTCTCTGTGCTTGTTCCAGTTCTTCCTCTGGGTCCTTGAATCCAGTGAAGGCATAATAGCTCTTGTCCCACTTGATCGGTCTGTAAAATGTGGTCGCTCCTTTCTTTGGAGAGGCTGTACCTTTAACCGAACTTTGGACATGGTCTGTGGACAAGCTGCAGGAACTGAGAATACCCAATACCGTGCTAAGCAGGTCTCTGCTATCTAAAGTGAAGCTGACCGTTCGGAATCCTGACAAAACCAACAAAAGAAAATGCTTTTTTAGTCATATAGGCACGTTTGTCTCATTTGGAAAATAAGAATAGCAATGCCCGCATGCTCTTTATTGATTTTAGTTCAGCATGAATTATGATTTTGTCAGCAAAGCTTGTTGCTAAGCTGACCTTTTTGGGCTTGAGCGCAATGATTTGTAACTGGATTTTGGATTTCCTGGCTGATAGGCAGCAGCGGATAAAAGTTGGTAATTGTTACTCATCAATGCTGTCCCTTAGTACAGGGGTGCCACAGGGATGTGTGCAAAGCCCTTTTCTGTTTACTTTATACACTTCTGATCGCGTTTCTCACTTCGAGGGGGCCTCCGAGTTAAAATTTGCAGACAACACCACGTTAATGGGGAAAATAAGAGGTGGCAAGGAGTCTGCATATTGCCAGGATGTTGAAAATGTAGTTGGATGGTGCAGAGAGAACAACTTAAAGTTAAATGTAACAAAGACAAATGAGAACTGATTTTAGGAAAGTACGGAGGTTAGTTATGAGTCGCTGGTGATTAATGGAATGGAGGTTGAGAGGCTATAGAAGTTCCGCATCCTGGGTATAATAATTAGGGGGGACCTGTCATGGACAGGGCATATATCCCATCTGGTGGGCAAGGCTCATCAGAGACAGTACTTTTGCGGGAAACTATGGAGGGAAGTCTTTTCAGACCGGGGTCCTTTTTAGCCTCTATAAAGCTGGATCACATTTCTTTGTGGCAAGGATCATGCACAGTCCATGACAGAAATGCCTTGCAGAGGGTGATAAAAACTGCACAGAAGACTATTGCAGGAGTTAGTCTACTAAATATTAATGAACTGGGGGAGGGGAGGTGTCTTCAGATAGTGATTAATATATTGGAAGATACTTCACATCCTAGTAATGGTCTGTATACATTGCTGCCGTCTGGTTGGTAGTATAGACGTACTGGCTCTTGTACCACCAGCTACAACTGTGTTTCATTTTATGATTGTTATTGTAAAATGACAATACATTTTCTGATTCTGACATTTATGATCAGTTGTTTAGGATGAAAACACGAACCTAATGAGCCATATGCTGATGTGTTTCTTGTCCTACAAATGTTTCCCTTTATTATCTATATTTTTGTACAGAACATTTGCAGTAAATAACATATACAAAGCATTATTCTCACTGATTGTGTTTAATAAAATTGAAACTATAGAGTAATGGCAGTGTTTCATTCTGTTAAAGTGGAGGAATGCAAATATGGAGTTATATATAAATATGGAGTTGAATTCGCCAACATTCAACACTGTACTTCAGCTTTAGTCATTCTGTAGAATGAATATGCAACGGCCGAAGTCCAATGACTTTCTGTAGTCAACGGACAACACTGCCTCATTCTCCCCTGGTCTAAAGAGCACCGCCTTCTTATATTATGGAGATGAGAAGTGGATGTATTCTATAGTCCCCTCAGGGAAAAGCTCAGACTGGGCTGCAAACACTGCCTGGAATTTTACTGCAGCAGAGTCAAAAGATTTCAGCTTAAACAGGAAGCTAGCTGCACTCTGAATTTCAGGTTTTCCATACTTGCAGAAATATTTTCTTCTTTATGGATAGAGCAGGGGAGATTAGAAGCCTGCCAGTTTTTTGAAAAAAAAAAAAAAAAAAAAAAAAAAAAAAAGGTATTCTAAATCTCCAGAACAGAAGTGATATATTAAGAAAATTTGTGTCTGATAAGTAATTGTACAATAAAAACTTTTAGGAAACCCCCCCCCCAAAAAAAAACCCCAAAACATATTAATACAGAACAATCAATCTTGAAATCAATTAAATTAAATAAGATAAAATTCACATTTGGTGTAACTGATAATTTGTAGTCTTGAAAAAAAAGTAAGAGAACATAAAGAAATCATGTAGCAAACTAAAGTAATCAAAAATACATAAAAAAAAAAATAAATACATTTATGATATCAAAGGTTAACTCAAAAATAAAAACTGTTTAGACTATATGCAACATGGTTTCAGATAGCTCCTAATGATTAATTTGGTGCCAGAAAATATCACACACACACACACACACACACACACACACACAATTGGATTCCATTGATGACTTGCAGCAGAAAACACTACTTTTTTACAGCACTCAAAAACGAACAATTACACAGATGGGAAGATATCAAACAAAGGTAGACTGAAATGGACAGATGCAGACTGACAGACACACCTGGGTGAATGGTTACATCAGGCCCTGCCTGTCTAACAAAGTTATGTCCATTTTCAGGCTAACAATTACAATTTACAGGAAGTGCCACGTGCACTTTTGGATGGGGGAAGGGGGGGGGGGTATATTAAAATGATTCTAGTTAAAGTGATATTAAAAGGATTTTTTTTTTTTTTTTAAATTTCACACTTACCTGGTCTGTGCAGTGGTTTTGCAGAGAGCAACCGCAATCCTCCTTTTCGGGTCCCCTGCCGGCACTTCTGGCTCCTCCCCCCTGAGCAGTACCCCCACAGCACGGCATGGGGGCACTCGTATGTGATTGCTCTCGAGCCCGTTCTCTGCATCCATAAAATACAGCAAAGCACGGTTCGGGCCTGTCCCCCCCTCACTGGCTATAATTGACAACAGGGGGATCAGATGGAGTATTGGGGGGCTGGGGGAAGCTGCACACAGAAGGTTTTTTACCTTCATGCACAGAATGCACGAAGGTAAAAACCTTCTGTCTCTACAACCACTTTAATATACACTGCTCAAAAAAATTAAAAGGAACACTTTGAAAACACATCAGATATCAGTGTGGAAAAATATCATGCTGGATATCTATACTGATATGTACTGGGTAACGTATTAGAAAACTTAACCCCTTTACGCCGGCCGCACACAAATATGCGGCCTCCCAGCGCATGGGCCTAGACGACGAACGGCTGCACAATTGCGTTCAAGTAAAAAAAAAAACATATGTGCTGAGAGTGCGCGCCATTTATTTACTTTCCATTTTGTTAAATATATACACACACACACACACACACACACACACACACACACACACACACACGTGAGGAACAGAAGTATTTGAACACCCTGCAATTTTGCAAGTTCTCTCACTTAGAAATCATGGAGGGGTCTGAAATTCACATTGTATGTGCATGCCCACTCTGAGAGACAGAAATAAAAAAAAAAAAAAAAAAATTCAGGAAATCACATTGTATGATTTTTAATGCTGAACATAAGTATTTGAACACCTGAGAAAATCAGTGTTAATATTTGGTACAGAAGTCTTTGTTTGCAATTACAGATGTCAAACATTTCCTGTAGTTCTTGACCAGGTTTGCACACACTGCAACAGGGAGTTTGGCCCACTTCTCCACACAGATCTCCTCTAGATCTGTCAGGTTTCGGGGCTGTCGCTGAGCAACACAGAGTTTCAGCTCCCTTCAAAGATGTTCTATTGGATTTAGGTCTGGAGACTGGCTAGGCCACTCCAGAACATTGATATGCTTCTTACGGAGCCACTCCTTGGTTATCCTAGCTGTGTGAATACAGGAGAAATAAGTGAGCGCTAAATAGAATCAACACTAACAGCAGCTGTACACCAAAAGGCCCCATATAAAAGACCTTTCAAAGGACACAAGTATAACACAGAGGGGTGCAACGCTCCTAAAATCTATAACACAGGAAAAGCTTATAAGCAAATGACATAGTAAAGTGACCATGTGCAAATAAAAATATATACATATATATATATATATAGGGTCACTAATTCGTGGCTAATAGTGCTGGAAATTGTGAAATCCAATATAAAAGTTCATAAAGAGGGTGATGATGAGATCCCAAATGATCTAATGATGTTCTATGACAGAGACCGTGGGTCAGGTGATATAAAGTAATATGATTGCGCACTCACCAGATACGCAAATCAAATGCGCATTGATCGTAGAAATCACAGGTCATCCGATGAACTTTTATATTGGATTTCACAATTTCCAGCACTATTAGCCACGAATTAGTGGCATATATATATATATATATATATATATATATATTTTTTTTTTTTTTATTTGCACATGGTCACTTTACTATGTCATTTGCTTATAAGCTTTTCCTGTGTTATAGATTTTAGGAGCGCTGCACCCCTCTGTGTTATACTTGTATCCTAGCTGTGTGCTTCGGGTCATTGTCATGTTGGAAGACCCAGCCACGACCCATCTTCAATGCTCTGACTGAGGGAAGGAGGTTGTTGCTCAAAATCTCACAATAAATGGCCCCATTCATCCTCTCCTTAATACAGTGCAGTCGTCCTGTCCCCTTCGCAGAAAAGCATCCCCAAAGCATGATGTTACCACCCCCATGCTTCACAGTAGGGATGGTGTTCTTGGGATGCAACCCATCCTTTTTCCTCCAAACACGACGAGTGAAGTTTAGACCTAAAAGTTCTACTTTGGTCTCATCTGACCACATGACGTTCTCCCATGCCTCCTCTGGATCGACCAGATGGTCATTGGCAAACTTCAGATGGGCCTGGACATGTGATGACTTGAGCAGGGGAACCTTCCATGCAATGCATGACTTGAAACCATGACGGCGTAGTGTTCTACCGACACTGACCTTTTAAACTGTGGTCCCTGCTCTCTTCATGTCATTGACCAGCTCCTCCCTTGTTCATTCTGGGCTGATTCCTCACCTTTCTTATCAGTGATACCCCACGAGGTGAGATCTTGCATGGAGCCCCAGTCCGAGGGAGACTGACAGTCATCTTTAGCCTCTTCCATTTTCTAACAATTGCTCCAACAGTTGATCTATTTTCACCAAGCTGCTTGGCAATTGCCCTGTAGCCCTTTCCAGCCTTGTGGAGGTCCACAATTTTGTCTCTGGTGTCTTTTGACAGTCTTTGGTCTTGCCCATGGTAGTAGTTGGCGTCTGACTGACTGTGGGGTGGACAGGTGTCTTTAAAGAGCTCAGACAGGTGTTACTAAGTTAGATTAATGAGTGGAGTAGAGGTGGACTTTTAAAAAGGCACAGTAACAGGTCTTTGAGAGCCAGAATTCTTGCTGTTTCTTAGGTGTTCAAATACTTATGTTCAGCAGTGCAAGACAAATAAATTCTTTAAAAAAAAAATCATACAATGTGATTTCCTGAATTTTTTTTTTTCTTAAATTCCGTCTCTCAGAGTGGGAATGCACCTACAATGTGAATTTCAGACCCCTCCATGATTTCTAAGTGCTAGAACTTCCAAAATCGCAGAGTGTTCAAATACTTCTGTTCCTCACTGTACATACACACACAGTAGATTTATATTAAATAAATAGAAAGTGAGCACTCCAAAACCAGCAACTAATGCACTCAAGGTAATCTCAGCAAACCTTAAAACATGAAAACTTAAATAGAAGTGCAGCGCTAGATAAAGTTGATGAATAAAAAAATAGTAATAATATATGAAATAATAAAATGTCCCATACATGTTAAACATGCATAATTAAGCAGTTCATAAAATAAATAACAGGTGATCCACTAGGTGTAGCTGTATACCAAGAGAAGCTGTGTCAGGGACAAGTGATAAAAATGCGCACTCACCGGACGCGCTATATTCAAGCGCATGTAATATCCACTCGGATCCCTTAGGAAGGTGGAGAAGGTGAGCATCCATCTAGAGGTAAGTAATCCTGGTATTCTGTCTCAGTGGTATATGGTGAAGGCTTCCAGGTCCAGAGATCCCCTTAAGGCTGAATGGGTGCATGTACTGGATACAGAGCTCCCTCCCTTTGGTGGTGGTGGTGGTTAATGGTGAGATGTCCTTGAAATCATTTAGCTCCAATGGGAGCCAGAAACAGTGCCCATAGTGTAGTAAGGTTAAAGACTTTATTTCAAAAAGATGCAGTATAAAACAGGGTAGTAAACACTCCCAATGTGCCAACCTGGTTGGCCCCCCTCTGATGATGTCCATTGCACGAAACGCCTTAGGAGGAGCCAACAGAGCGTGACGTCACAGCCGCCCGGAGCAACGAGGAGGCCCGGCAGCCATCTTTACTAAGGTGTCAGTACTACTCTGCATCTATCATTGACACACTGGGAGTGTTTACTACCCTGTTTTATACTGCATCTTTTTGAAATAAAGTCTTTAACCTTAATACACTATGGGCACCGTTTTTGGCTCCCATTGGAGCTAATTGATTTCCAGGACATCTCACCATTAACCACCACCACCAGAGGGAGGGAGCTCTGTATCCAGTACATGCACCCATTCAGCCTTAAGGGGATCTCTGGACCTGGAAGCCTTCACCGTATACCACCGAGACAGAATACCAGGATTACTTACCTCTAGATGGATGCTCACCTTCTCCACCTTCCTAAGGGATCCGAGTGGATATTGATTACATACGCTTGATTATAGCACGTCCGGTGAGTGCGCATTTTTATCACTTGTCCCTGACACAGCTTCTCTTGGTATATGGCTACAACTAGTGGATCACCTGTTATTTATTTTATGAACTGCCTAATTATGCATGTTTAACATGTATGGGACATTTTATTATTTCATATATTATTACTATCATTTTTTATTCATCAATTTTATCTAGCGCTGCACTTCTATTTAAGTTTTTAGTATATTTATATTATATATAGTATGTTTGGATAGTATTTTATGTATTGTTATAAAAATATGGCTGCTGTCTACTACTGTGCAATAGCACTAAGAATCCTGGTGTCAGGACCTACAACCTCTGCAGTGTCTGGCTGTTTTTTGCTGTACAACAAAGGGATGCTGGAAAGCTCACTGCCTGATTCCTTGGACTATACTTCTGTCTCACCCCATACAGCTTTTACCGGTTACTAACCTAACTTGTTTACTGACTACGCTTCTGCTTGATCCCTACCTGCTATATCTGCTACCTGACCCCAGCTTGCTCACCTCCTGAGGGCTGTGCCCTGGTGATAACATGCAGTAAAACCCATCTCCACCATCAGGAGCTTTGGCGAATACCAGTTGGTGCTTAGATCCTGCGCCTCAGGTGAGCCCACATCATCTGCTAGTGGGATCTGCTTGTACATTTCCAGCTGACTACCTCTGAACCTCTTTACTGCTACAGCCAATGGTCTCCAAGCCTGACCCCAGACCATGACACCTAGCAGAGAATACACAGGGTGACTGTATTACAGCAAAAAGAAGCAATGTGAATTTATTATGTATTTTACACCAAAATCTAAAACAGATGACTCAGGCAAGATATGGTTTGAAAAGTATATTTCTATATTTGGGTGTAAACATTTGAGATATATTTTCACTGGTGTACATTAAGCAATTATTACAGACAGAAAAATGGGGTGCATTAACCTTGAATTTTGGAGGATTCTTGGTCATTCTCAGAAGTCTGCTCAGTTTCTCGAACATAAAATGTGAGCTGGGCTGGCTTGTGTGAATGATGTCCAGGCTTCTGAAGATTCTCCAGGTATCCATTTAACCTTTTTAGGGAGTTTTCATTGACCTCCTTGAAATAATAAAGACAATAATGATTGAAAAACCATCTTCAGTATTTACATTTATAGCCATCATTACTACAATGAAATTTTGTCTTGCTCATCCTGTTGGGTCCATATACTTAATATCTTGTGAGCATTGTTTTACAGGTTTTTCATTTGAGGGCTTTTTTTTTATTTTATTTTTTTTATTGTGAATGATTAGCTGCACTAGTTAGATTCAAAAGACATGGATTCCTCAGTTTGCCTGTCTACACATTGCAACCTATATTATCACTAAACCAAAGCAATCAATACAAAGAATTTGAGGTATCACAATGTTATCATTCTAAATGATCCAAAAGATGTCTAAAAGCCATGCATTTTTTATTTACAATTTCAATGCAAGAACATAATTTATAAAAGAAGGGATATTCTATCAGAAATGTATGTCCATACGATATTACATATTATGTTGAATATACAGTAGATAAAGAAATCTACAGATGCAACATCTTGTTGATTGTCACATACTCATGGGGCACAGGTCATATCCATGAGCATCCGATAAGATAGAACAATGTCCTTCTGTATAATCAAGTGATCTATTTGGTCCATGTCCCATGTGCATACCAGGCTAGGTTTACCAATGAAGCAAAAAAGGTAGACAGCACAGCGGCAGTAACAAGCAGCCAACAGTTGAACCACATGGTTCCATTCAATAGTGTATGCCTAATCAGTGTACAATATTCAAAGTGTGGGGAGAGTGGATGCCGGTTTACTTACTCTCTCTCTTGGATGCTGACCAAAGAAATCAGGATGCACAGCAAAATAGAAAGGTCTTAGGGCATTGACTGCATCTGCACCTGAGAGGTTCCTGGCCTGGAGTAGATATGCGTAAAGCACCTTTCCCCAACACAGCCTGAAAGAGAAGAATAGAAATCAAACAAACACACAGTATATGGATACTATTAAGATGCTTAGCTACTATTTGCCTCCTGGTAAGTATATTTTTTGGGGGTTCTCCTTTAAAGTGGGGCTTTAGTCAGAAAATTAAGTCTTGCTAGATCACCTCAGGCTGGCCCTTTTTGCAGGTATAGCTATGTAAAACATTAAAAATAGGTGCCTACACACTGATTAAAATGTAGTAGTCCACCGTCTCACCCTGCTCTGCACACTCTCAGTTGCTCTATTTTTGGCATTGTCCCGAAAATTAGAGCCACTAGAGGCCAATCTGCTCACAGCCTAAAGATTTACTGCTGCTCAGGGGGGCTCTAGGCTTCAACAAAATGGCAGCCTCCAGCAAGAAGAAACAGGAACAATGCTAGATGCAATTTACAACACACTTATTTTGGTAGAAATAATTATTGCAGAACGTATGTTCCATGTTAAAAGACCATTATTTTTTTTTATCAAGTTGTTATAGGTAACATTCTGCTTTAAGAAGCCATTTAAAGCGGATTTAAACCCAACCATTGCAGCTTACCAGTCCTTCGATGTTGATTCTGCCAATAGCACACTTGTTATGCCATGGTGACAATGCTAATTGTACTGCATATATAGGTGAGCAGCACTGTCACCCTAGGCTGCTTTCCTTCTCCGCATTACATAGGTGGAATGTGTTCTGTAATTCACTGAACAGCATTGCTTAGACTGATGAGATCTTAATGCAGTGCACAGAAAATTACAAAGACACTCGATTCCACCTAGATGGCTGCAGAACTGATCCCAGCTGCAGCTGTTTCCTGCCGGCTCTACCCCAAGAACTGAGGGATTAAACACAGATGATCACTCAATTCTCCCCCTCTGCTCTGAGCAGAGAGCTGGTGACTGTCATGTCACCAGCTCTCTGCTCTTCCCCTCCAGCACTGTGCTGTGGAGGGGGTGGGAGGGGCTGGCTCAGGCTCCCATCGGCATGCTTAGAGGCTGAGCCAGCTGCCAGTCCATGTAGCTGGGTGGATTCCGACTGTAAAGTCGGAATCTTTTCAGAGCCAGGATCGGCTAAGTGACATCAGCCAACAGCAGGGTTTAGCTCGCTGTCGGCTGAAAACAGATCACAGGAGTGCAGAACTAACTGCACCCGTGTGATCCATAGGAGAATTACAGCCAAAATAGCTTTAGCATGGCTTCTTTAATTTTTTTGCTTTCTTTATGTATAACTTTTATTATGATGTAGATATGAACATATCAGAAAACAATATATGGCACATTTGGTACATCAAACATCAAAATAGGTCTGGTATAAGATGGAGGTGGAATTATGGCTTCAGAAGATTTGGGCGAAAAAGAGCCAGAATATTAGCAGATATATTTGTTTTTCAAATGAGAGTCCTCATTAGGGGACTAGAAGAATGGACACTCACAAAAGGACACGCAAGAGGTCTTTCACAAGACATGGAGGCATTAGCATATGTTCTTATTTTCTGAAGAAGGCGAACCATTGATGGCTCCGTGTGGAGTGAGGGCAGTGTGAACTTGAGCATTGTTCTTATTCTTCTTGTTAAAATTATCCTCCCACATTTCTTTTCTTCCCCTCTTCCGCCTCACTTGAGGACCTTCTATCCTTTATTTTCTAGGGATCTATCTAGGGAATTGGATCTTAAACCCCCCTTATCCGCAGTTTGCACCCTCTCATGCTTACCAATGTTATTTGTTTCTCATTTAATTTGAAATTAGATTTCACAAGCTGTTTTACAATAGTCTGTTACGCTATTGTGTTTGCAGGATGGACTGAATAATAACTTAGCTGTAATTCATCATTCTAATTGTCAGGGTATGATAGTTCAACCAATATTCTATGCTTTGTCCTTCCAGTGAGACTATGGGGTTTACTTACACTGGAGTGTGCAAAATCTGGTTCAGCTCTGCATAGAAACCAATCAGCTTCCAGGTTTTTTTGTCACAGCTTAAACTGAACAAGCTGAAGTTAGAAACTGACTGGTTACCATGCACAGTTGCACTAGATTTTGCACTCTTCAGTTTTAGAAAATCAACCCCTATGTAAAACTATTGTTTTCATGCCTGATAATATGTAACGATCTCCTAAATTTTCGCTTTTGTACTCTTGTTGAATCCTATAAAGTCCAAGGCTTAAGTAGGCTGAGGTATAGACATATTGAATTTCGGTGCCAGGTGATATTGGTATATGTCCATCAGAGCGAACAAGGGAGACATAGACAGGGAGGGTTGAGGAAGGGTAGAAGGTGTATTACATGAGGCTTGGGGGTTGTTGAGTGGAAGGGCAAGGAAGAGAAAGAGAAATGACTACCAGTCAGGTTTTGCATAGACTTTAAAGAAGCTCTTGCTCACCCATAAGGTTCTTCATGGCATGGCACCTCATTATCTGTCTGAACTTACCCCCCCCCCCCCCCCCTTGTAACGTCTGCACTTTTAAATTCTAGTCTTATGTGTCCCCCCCTAATCACCTACACTTGACAGGAGACAAAACCTTCTCCTGCTATGCTCCAAAACTCTGGAATTCACTTCCAAAGAACATCAGAGAGTCATCTTGCTTAAATTAATTTAAATCAAATCTGAAAACATTGTTTTTCCTTTAGACAATCTTTGCATTTCTTGGGTTTTCTTTATAAAGTGCTTTGAGAATCTACCTTTAAAAAGTAACTATATAGAATAAAGTTGTTTATTATTATTTCCATTAGTCGAATATCTTCAAACCCTTTATTCCACTGCTGGATTGTCTGGGGTGAAGAGAGCTTCCACAGTGCCGAATTTAATGGACTGGCTGCATTTACCCAGAATCTAAGCACTTTGTTTTTTTTTTTTTTATTTATTTATGGCAGGTACAGGTATTGAGTAGTAATGTAGGAGAAAAAAAAAATGGTGTTTTTGGGACTGTCCCATCTGTGAATGTTTGGGTTATGTCATGTACTTGTATTCAAAAGTCTTACAGGGACCTGTGAGACCAGAAAATGTGTGGCAAATCTCTTGGTTCTTGTCCACATCTCTAGCATGTTGTTGGAGAGGCAGGGTAAATAGCATGGAGTACTGTTGGGGCACAATACCAATGGCAGACACAGACAGACAGACAGACAATCTTATAGCCAGATTCCTGGTATTTATTGTTTATAGAGGATTTGGATGACATAAGTATCTTTAATTTAAATCGGTGAGAAAATTATACCAAGGTACTTCTCCCACTGCTCCAGAAAAAGTAAAAATTGGTTTGTGAAGCTTCCTTAAAGCAGTAGTAAACCACCACCTTTAAAATAAAAAACAATAAAAAACCTGAAAGACAATGGCATGATGTGCCAATATGCATACTAGAACATTATGTGAAACTTCCCTTAAAAAGGAAGCCCTCTGGTGGCACACTATCACCGCCGACAGGGCTTCCATCTTCACCCAGTCCTTCTTCCAGGTTCGTGGGCTCCAGCGAATTGAATGGCTGAGCCGTGATGTCACTCCCGCGCATGCACGTGGGAGTAATTTTTATGGCACACAGCTCTGAAGGAAAAGCACAGGCATGCCGTTCCTTCAGAGCACATGTGACAGTGCTCCTTTACAAGCAAATGTCTCCTAAGCCTTACCTGCAGGTACAAGTGAAAAAAAAAAAAAAAAAAAAAAAAAACTTTACTACCACTTTAAAAAGCAAATTTGTGGTATAGGGAGAAAGTCTGCAGAATTGTTTCAGCTATTCAATATTCTGATTCAAATTGATTTAAGGCACGTGAGAACTTTGCCAGGGCTGGAAAGGATCCTAAGAAAGGGGGAACTTGTAGTATTCACAGAGTGCCTAAAGACGAGAACTCAGGGTCCTGTGCCATTTGGGTAGAGGACATAATGAAAGTCTTAGAAAGTATTTTGTACACCATTTATTCTCTTGCCAGAGTATGGAAATATTTTTTATTCTGAAGGCGGTGTAGAAAATAGGTTTTCCCCAGGATGGAAAAAAGTGGGGAGGGCAAGCTCATCAGATTGAAAGGCAGCAGTACCGGTCCGCCAAGTCACAGAAATAGTGGGATGTTTACTTTGTCCATTCTACAATGAATAATAAAAATATTAGTCTCATGAATAGTCTAAGGTATTGCAACTTACAGTATCGCTGCCTCAAATTGCCATCTGGTTCTACAGCAGACAAGTACATTAAAATGGTTGTAAACGCTTACCTATACCCAGTGAAGTGACTGGCCTCAGGTGATCCACAGAGATGAAACAAATCATCCTATATAAGTTTATATATGTGTCTATTTGCAGTTCTCTCCTCTACATCTGTTCAAAGTGCTGAATTTATTAAGCTTGTTGAGTGTTCAAAAAAAAAAAAAAAAAAAAAAAGGGAAGGAGATGGAGAACTGAAATTATACTCTTTAGAGCTCAGTGAGAGTGGATTGGAGTGACAAACCCTCCTACACACAGCTCACAGGAACAGAGCCGAGGCTATCAGTCTTCTGGAGGTCCTTCCCTGTCACCATTTTTCTCTTGGTGTCAGTAAAACTCGTCAAAAATGACACTTGCCGCCCTTAGTTGAGACAAGTGCACACTACAGAGGTATACGCTTTGTTTCATGTCTGAGGTTTATAACCACTTTAGGTCACTACTGTAACATAATTGTACAAGACCGTGCTGCTTAACTGGTACTTCAGGGGCCACATATTATAACTTCCCCCTCATTCAGATCTGTTCTTGCAGCCTTTATGACCACAAAGCAAGAAAGTAAAATCATTACCCTTGGCTACACGTTCTATAATAGGGTTGCGGAGAACAAAATCTGAACCCTCCCCCAAAGTATTGCAAAGTACACAATACTAGCCATTATTGTTCTTAGAACCTCTGCTGACTAATATGTTTGATTTGCATGATTTCAACATTCTTCATTAGAGTCTTATTTTTAAATATTTGTAATGAACTGAAGTTATTCAGTTATTAACAGTATAGTATACTTTTTCTGATTAAGCAAGATTAGAAATAAACAAACAAAGCCAAAGAGGTATGGTCC